GGGGTAAGAGATGGGTTTTACTGAGGCAATACTCTTCATTTTTTAAAGAAAAAAAATTAAACTCTATGCTTTTTCATTAATGTTTTTAAATGAATTAATTTAGATCTAATTAAATAAAAGAGCAAAAGAGACACTACATCCATACATATAGATATCTATATGCATACATCGTATCTGTCTACATGTATGTGACTATATCTATACATATACATACATACATAAATGCATAAAAGAGGCTAAGTCATTTTTTCTTCACTTCCACATGCTGGAGAACAAAGGCTATTTTGCTCCATCAATACTTCCGGTGTTTTAACGTTGGATTAGTTTTTCAGCGGTTTAATATGTAGCGAGAACAATTATATGTCATAAATTATAAATTTTTAATATAAATATATACAAATTTAACCGTTAAAAAATTAATACAATAATTAGTGACAACAATTCCGACCGGTGGAATAAAATAGCCTTCTCCAATCTCCACAATAAAGTCTTTCTTTTCCTCTGCGGCAATCTCGTTTTAATGGTGATGTCATGTGTTGGCAGAGGCAAGCCAATCATTTAGTTGCAAATATTTTTTTTAACTATTTTTGTTTTGTGAGAAGTTTTTAATCCATTGATTTTTTTACGTGTACTCAAATAAAATTGAATTTGTGTATATTGAAATACATGTGTACTCATAGGTTTTTCCCTTTTTGCCTAGGGCTCTTTAACGTTATTTATTTATTTTTCACAATAAACTTCTTTAAAATACTTTTTTTCACGCTTTGCTTATATTAAATATTTTTTTAAATGTGTCTCTACTTAATTTTAATTTTAATTTTTTCCTTTAACCGACAACTCCTTTGTAATTTATTTTTGTTCCCTCATTCTTTGAAATACTTTTCTTTTCTCAATTAGCTCTTGTTAAAATATTTTTTTCTAAATCTTTCCCCAGTTAATTGTTTTTGGTGTATTCCTATTATATCAAAAATGAATCTTACAAAGATCAGAAAAGTAGATCTTATAAATACTTTTTCTAATTGGGCCACTAAATAATGTTTTCACAATCTTGCTTACATATTGTACTTTTTTAAGTACCTAATTTATTAAAAATATTGCTTTTAAAAAACTCTATCATTTAATTAGTCATAATATAAAAAGTATAAATATATAAACTAATATTAAGAGATAAAAATAAAATGAGGCTCTATCTCAAAGGGTATTTTTAAATATTACTCTTTTTTAAATAGTTTTATCACGCAACCGTTTTCCTTATTATTTTCTCATAAAGACTTTATCACTAATTTGTTCCTATTAAGGTAATTTTTAAATACTTTTTTTCCTTACTTTGCTCATATTAAAATAATTCTTTCATGCGTCACCCAACTTAATATTTTTGTTTCTTTTTTGTCAAGGACTCTTTTAGAGCTTAATTCTTTTTTATTGTGCTTTTCTTGAAATACCTTTTTACTCACCAACATCTATTAAATAATTTCTTTCAAATATGTTGCTACTTGTGTCATTCTTGCTTTCTCTTTTGTGTTCTAAAATATACTTTCATCAAATTTGACCTTCATAAATACTTGTTTTAATTGTCCTCGAATATGCTGCCACTTAAACATTCTTATCTTTCTCGTATGTATAGTGTATACCATAAATATTTTTTTTTTGTTTGATTTGTCTTGATCAAAATAATTTTTTAAGAGTATTTTATTTTTCAATGCAAATATAATATTAAAAAAATATACATTTTGATTGAAACATCCATTTTAATACATCTATTTTCCTTTAAAAAAAATCTTATGTTTTCAAACGTGTTGATTGAAAAACTTTTTCTTTAATATATCGTTTTTAAAAAAGCTTTTTCTTAATCCGACTATACTTAAATGTTTTCTTGCAACCATCTAAAATATAATTTTTCATAATTATGACCTTATAAATAATTATCTAAGTAAAAAGTCTTTTCATACTATTTTCCATTGTCCCTAAGTAATTTTCTCCCTATTTTTTCTACATGAAATTATTTTTAATGTATAACTATATATGTACATGTCTTATAGTATCAAGTGTTTATAGTCAAAACGAGTTTCGTTTCAACAAAAACTGTAAACAATTATTTTAGAGTAAACTCAATAACACAAACAATTATTTTTAAAATGAACTCAAGAACACTTAAATGATTGTATAAATAAAGTCTTGTTCATTTTACTTGTTGAAGTTTAGAACTTGAATTAAAAAGTGAATTTATGTGAGATGAAATATTGTAGCAAAAAAAATTGAATTTGAATTTTTTGAGAGAAAATATTATAACAAATGAGTTGCGATTCCAATTAGCGACACGAACATGCCTAAAATTATCATTGTGTAATAAATAATAAACTACCCAGGTAACTGCAATATGAAAATATGTGCGGAACATGTTTCAAAACTAGTGTATCAAAAAACATATGTAAGGTATTTGATGATAGTTTTTTAAACTACACATTTACATACCAATATTATGCAAACAACGGGATGTCTAGGGTGACGTTTGGAAGGGAGATTCATGTCATGATTTGAATCATAATTCGTGATTCGCTATAGTATTTTTTCTCATAAAAAATACACATAAAATAAGAATAATTCTGAATTATAATTCTGAATCTATGAACCATACGTCAGATGTGTAAAGACGAGTTGCCCAACTTGGCCCTTGTGGACTTAGAGGGCTAGAGACACGATTCGGGCCAAGTCATTTCATAAATTGGAAATCGTGCCGAGTAAAAGCTGTATTTGTTTGGACCGCTCAGCCTAACAGATCCTTATGATAGCCGAGCCAGACCAAAATCAGAACCAAAGAGGCAAGTAATAGGCCGGTGTGTTGGGCCTAGCCCACGTTTATACCTCTTGAGATATTAATAATATGTTAAAATACAGGATGTTGAAATGATAAAAACTCAATATTTTATCCCCAATTACTGTATATGTTAAAAAAATTTTACCAACGGCGAGGTTAAAAGGATAATGTAATTAAATATACATCAACTATTGTAAAAGGAAGGAAATTAGAATTCCGGATCTCAATATTGAATATCATTTAATTTTAATATGACTAAAATCAAGTTGAGTCTTCGTCTATAGCAATAGAATAAATAATTGATAAAAAGAAGAAAAGTGAGATCTTCACCAACGCCAGTATGTTAACATTCCATGTTGTGAAAACTTTCTAGCCCGTAGTATTACAAGTTTTTCGGTTATTCGACGTGGCAAAATCCTATTTGTCGACAAAAAACATCCTGAGAATTGAACCTTGACTCACTTTTCTAGAAAAGAAAGAAAAGGGGAAAAAGCCAATTTCTTTATATATATATATTGTAGAGAGCACGTGTGATGGGTGAATCGTCTAGCAGCACACGTGCAATCTGTCAGTATTTACCTCTGATTTCACAGATTTGATATCATCAACCATCTCTCCTTTGGGAATCGACGTTTCAAAACTTAACTCTGACTTACAACTCAGTGAGTTTGCCTGACTCGGGCATAATTTATAAAGGTCATTCATTTTACTAATTTAAAATTTTAATTTCAATTTTATTATAGTTAAAAATTATCACAAAAAATTATATCTAACTTTTTCTGCTACAGTAAAAAATTTTCACATAAAATCATATCTCAATTTAAATTAAAAACTCAAATAAATGAAACTAAACGAGGTCATATGATCATGAGCTTTCATATAAAGTCGCATAAAATGATTATATGATCATGAGCAAATAAAGTATTTTCAAATGTTCATTCGATCTTATCCGTCCTACCGAACACTTTGCTTAATTTGTTAATTTTAACCACTATTAGTAACTCCTTAATTATAATTACTATTATAATCCAATACTCAAAAGTTGAATAAAAATAATAGGAATACATGTATCCTTTAATTTTCCTTCTCTAAACACTCAGATCTTCTTCTCTTAATTTGTTCTCTTTGCCCTTTTGGTTCATGACTCGGTGTTTTAGTCCCAAATTAGGATCCAACTCAGGAATCGCCCGAGTTGCACCCGGAGCAAGTTTTTGAAACGCTAGCATTGCCAGCTTTGTTTGCTTCGGCATTTGCGCTCTAACAACTGTATGAAATGCGAGGAAGAGCCTCCCACTAAAGGACGAACCCACTCGAATGGCTTCTTTATCTCTCTCACTCCTCGTCCATTTCCCACCACCAAACCCTAACTAACCCTTCTTGCACGCAGACAAAGCCAAGAAATTAATTCACATTATTAAAAAAAAAATGGAAGAAGATAATATATGGAAAGTGATCCCACTCTTGGTTATATATACCCCTTGTCATAGTGAGTTTTATGTACAATCAAGATTAGGAGTGTTCACTAGTAATAACTCTCTGGTGGCAAAACTTGTCCTATTTTTGTCTGAGAGATTTAGAGTCTCATTTTTCTCTTCTTTAATCTAGTTTATAGTTTTCTCATTTGTTCTTCTGAGTTTGTTTCAACCAAGAGAGAAATAGAGAAATCCTTGTTCAGTTTCCAAAATGCATGAGAATAACTATGTCATTATACAAAGTTCAACTCCTTTGTTGTCTCATGAATATGATACAAAGGAAGATATCATTCATGACGATATCATTGAGCAACAACCGTACTCGAAGCGCTTCGCTCGAGAAAATTTCTCGAAGGTACATATTATATTAGTCCTTATATTTTGAATTATTTTATTTGCTCTATTTTTATCTTTTTTAATTTTTAATTTTCATGACTTTCTTTTTACGATTTTCTCTTCATGATGGCTATCACTCGATTCATTAAAAAAAAAAAGAAAAAAAAAAAAAAAAATTTCATTTTGCATGTTTTTCTAAAATTGTTGACGTCTCAATTTCATTATGTATTTCATGATCAGGCGTTAAAAGAAATCAAGCAGCTATACATGATAGCCGTCCCCATGATTCTGACCGGACTCCTGATGTATGGCAAGTCAGCCATCTCCATGTTCTTCATGGGGAAGATGGGCAAGTCGGCGTTGGCGGGGGGAAGCCTTGCCATCAGCATCGCGAACATCAGCGGCTACTCCGTCCTCTCGGGCCTTGCCTCCGGCATGGAAGGCATCTCCTCCCAAGCCTTTGGTGCCCGCCAGTGGCGCCTTATGGGCCAAACCTTAAACCGCACTGTCCTCATCCTTCTCTTGGCCTCCTTCCCTATATCCCTCATTTGGCTTAAGTCCCACCTCTTCTTCCTGTATTGGTGCAAAAACCCCGTCGTCGCCGCAACCGCTACCATCTATTTAACCTTCTCCATCCCCTCTCTCATCTTCCAATCCTTCATCAACCCCCTCAAAATCTACCTAAGAACTCAGAAGATTACCAAACCCCTTATGATCAGCGCAGTTATAGCCCTAGCCGTTCATGTCCCCATCAACTACTACCTAGTTTACCACCATAATCTTGGTATCCGTGCTATCGCCATGGCAGCCACCTTGACTGATGTGATCATCCTCGTAGTCCTAGCCGCTTACCTCGCCTTCTCCGGTGTTTGCAAGAGGTCATGGCCTGGTTGGTCCCTCGAGTGCTTTACTGAATGGAAACCGATTCTCTGCCAATCCATTCCCAGTTGCATTTCTGTTTGTTTGGAATGGTGGTGGTACGAGCTTATGATTATTCTTTCCGGGCTTCTTTACAATGCCGAGGAGGCTGTCGCTTGCATGGGGATTTTGATACAGGCAAGGATGAGAATTCCCCTAATCTTTTATTTTGATTTTTTTTTTTAATTTCTTAAAATTTTTAAATATTTATTGTGTTAATGTGGATGTTTTTATCATTGGATGCATACACAGGCGACCTCTTTGATTTACCAATTCCCACATTCGATGAACCAAGCAGCGTCGACCCGGGTTGGGAACGAGCTCGGCGCAAACCAACCAAACAAGGCCAAAACAGCGTCGTTAGTGGCCTTATGGTGTGGGATGTTGACCGGTATCGGAGCGATGGCATTCATGGTGGGAATGAAGGACTTGTGGGGGAGGATCTTCACAGCGGACAAGGACATCCTAGCGCTGGCAGCAGCAACGCTGCCAGTAGTGGGGCTTTGTGAGCTAGGGAACTGCCCCCAGACGACGACTTGCGGGGTTTTAAAAGGATCAGCCAGGCCGACTCTGGCAGCATTCATAAACCTCATCACATTTTACGGTGTCGGGCTGCCGGTGGCAATGCTGGTCGGGTTCAAGATGGGCGAAGGGCTCGTTGGGCTGTGGTACGGGCTTTTTGCGGCGCAGATAGTATGCTTACTGGTGATGATTGTGGTGCTGATCACGACTGATTGGAAGAAGCAAGCAGAGAGAGCACAAGAGCTCACCGGTAGTACTAACAACGCGGAGAATAATAATATTAATACTAATGAGGAACAGATTAGTATTAGTACTAATGAAAACGTTGAAGTCTTGGTATGATTAGATCGAGGGGTGAAATCAAACGCCGTTCTGGTCTGGACTTGGTTTTCCCCAATGGGAGTTAAATAAAGAAAAAGAAAATAACATATGGTTTTGAAGTTTGATCCTTAGTTTTGTATGTTCGTTTTATGTTTTGGTGATGTTTAATTTCAATCCTTCCGATTTTGTTTTCTTAAACAGTTGTATAAACGAGAGCTGGGTTATCAATGAAGTAGTCTTCATGTGACTTTTTTCTTTCAGTTTCCTTCAACATTTCTTTTTTGATTTGTTGAGAAAATTCAACGTTTTATTGAGTTTGCTACTTTATATATATTGATAACAAGTATAGTTGGTAAATGATCAATTAATGAAGCGCCGACTTTATAACAAACTCCCATCGAGTTCTTACGAAATAATGAAGACATGCATTATGATGGATTATTCGTTACAAAAAAGTAAAGACTTCAATTGCATATATATTTCTGTATCTTATGAAATGGGGAAAAATTGTATTTGATTACCGATATGACTTAGGAGCGCTTTGTGAAGCATACGGGCCAAAGTTTAAACGATGCTTCACTATTGATTCTATGGCAGTTAATATCATGTAAGAAAGATATGGAATGGTTGATTTGTTGGTACTGTAGTTCGAATGTCAAAAAATGCAGTTCTAAAAGAAATATATATAATTTCAAATTTGATCCCCCAAAAATAGTTGTTATCTCACTTTGGACCATATAGTTCACAATGACACAAAACAGGCCCTTGAACTTTTCTTAAGCTGTGATTTTTGAATTTTCACCATAGAAACACCAATTTTCTGAAAATTTTAAGAATTATTATCACTGGTTTCTCTGAACCTTAAGGTCATTCCTAGTTTGGCCTCTAAACTTTAAAAACTTGTACTTTGCCCTTAAATTTTGAATTGTTCTCACTTAACACCTTATGTAATTTCTGTTAAAAACAGATAGAATAAAAGAGAGTAATGCAGTCACATGGTCTCTCTATTTGAAATTGTGTTAAAAACAAACATATAAAAAAACTTGGCCACACTTAACACCCCATTTTTCTGTCTGAATTCACCAGAAATTCCTACAAAAGGACTTAAATTTGACAAATTTAAAATTTAGAGGGTAAAATGAGAATTTTTAAAGTTTAAGGGGTAAATGGGAATGATCCTAAACTTTAAGAGGCAGCAATGAGATTAATCCAAATTTTAATTACATTTAGGTAAAGTGACTAGTTGGTAAAAAGAAATATACGAGAACAATATCGATGTGGGTATTGCAAGTAATATGAAATGTGACACTTCGGGTTAGAGTGAGAAAAAAATTGCTTTGTCATAAATTTTAAATTTTAAAGGCTATTTTGTTTAAGTTTATTGTATTGCTCTATATCAAACACTCATATAATATATGCGTGTGCTCAAAATTAAAAAAAAATTAGTTGAAGTTTCATTGGCCGAAGTACATACCAAAGTTGCAACAATTATGAAAAGCTCAGGAGTCATTTTGTGCCATTTTAAATTATAAGGGCAAAGTAAGACAATCAACATTCTTCAGCGGCCAAATTTAAATAAAGCCATAAGTTTAATTAGAAAATGAAATAATAGATCTTGCCGAATGAATGAATTTCGATCGGGAACGCTACACCAATGCTGTCAATTAATTTTTTCATCGTTAAACTAATAAATATTCTTCACTTGTTTACGAACCGAAAACATACTTTACTTGGTTGCACAAAATCAAAGATCGATCGATAACATCGAACAACTTTTTCAATGAAGTAAATTCATCTTGATGTTTCTTTTTTCAGTAATATTCTTCGTGTAATATGAATTATATAAATAGCAATAAAAAACAATTGCCATTTTAATACCATCATCTTAACCCATCGTTTATTTTTTTTTTTTGTTACCTATATATATATATAGATATAATATATTAGAGAGTTCCACAAGATCCATTATCCTAACAACTTGATAAAAACTAATGAGGGGAGAGAAATTGTAAACTTTTCCCAACCGATCTCACTCAAAGAAGTAGGTTTTTTCTTTTTTAAGAAAATATTATATCAAAGCAGCCTTTCTATCAAAATTTTTAACGATGCTTCCAATTTCCAATTTGAGGTTAATTAGCACTTCAATAATTACAATCATATTATTAGTTTTTTCTTTCTTTAAGAAAAAATAAAAAAAATCTTTAATGTCTTCACGTCCGCAATGGGACCAATCATGCAATTAGTTACTTTAGTAAATTTTACAGCTCAGATAAATATATAGGTTCTGATTAGTATTCTTCTATCGCTTGACAAATAATATATTTATCACGAAACGTGTATGATTCATGTCAGAGAAAAGGTATTGTGTGGCATGCCGCATGCCTAAAGAAAGAGTCGTCGATCTATACGTAATGTCGTCTTTTGACGTGGGTCCCATACCTTGCATGTGTGGCATAGACCACGTTTCCTCGTGTTATTGGTCCCACACCTCTCACACCTTTCTCTCTTTTTTCTTTTAGGGGAGGGGGGAATGCCACACACTTCATGATACGACGAAATAAATTACCTACTTTCCAAGTCACGCCAAATAATTTGTTTAAAATTTATTGTCGTTTGCACAAAGATAGAAACAAATCTCAACATGCATCGCATATGGAAGGTAATCTCTGAATCAATTAATGTTTCCAAATATTAACGAAATTGCAGATATTTTTCTTTGTCAGCTGTTTTTAAAACATCTCATTCAACAATTTTCTTAATGAAAAAAAATTGTTTGTTGAGTACTAGTGACGAAACATATATTGGATATCAATATATTATATTAATTTGATTAATGTGTTTACTAAGTTAATTTGCATATTAACATATGATGCAGTACTTAAAAAGGTCATAACACAACTCAACATTGATAAAATCTTAAAATAAAAACATAATTTGATGACACAATTTTGAAGCCACATTATTAATCCCAATGTCAATAGCACTAATATTATTATACCTTTGCATGTTTGCTCATATTTTACTCTATCATGTAAGACATACTTATATTTTTGTGACTAAGTGAATCAAAAGTCTTTCGTTTTTTTATTTTTATTTTTTATTTGTTAAGATTAGGACATAGGTACTGGAGAAGAGATCATTTATACGTTAGATTGATAAATTAACTATAACTTTAGCCACATTAGGAAAAATTAATGGTGCATGAAACATAAAGTGAACTCTTGCCACATTAAAAATGCAATGTCTTAGCCAGTGTGCGCATCTCTATATCTTTGGGATGAGCATGAAATGAACTCTTTTTTTTTTCTTTTTTTATTAATTGGGGAAGTGATGTGTCAAGGTCTGATCACACAAATGATTTATGGAAAGGTGTGGAGGACGAATCTAAGTAGTAGGAAACGATAACAAGAAAAGGAAAGTAAAACGACAAAAGTTTTGATTAAAAGAAGAACGGTGTCGTTTGAGACACAGAGAAAACCAATCACATGGAAATCTAATTAGAAGCAGATAAATAAATCGATAGAGCCGGATAAGAAGAATCGGAATGACGTCGACCGAAAAGTCATAAGAACACAGAGAGTCGAAAATCTTTAAATGGGGGAGAAATAAGATTCTGGGGAGACTTTTTGGTGGGTTTTCTTACTGAAACTCTGTCAAACTTGAGAGAAGAGAGAATGACTTTTAGTGAGAATCAAAATCAGACATTCAGATCCCATTTGTTAACATTTTCAAAATACTTTTGTTTTCAGTACAAAAGTAAAAATGAAATTGTTTTGATAATCATTTAAGGATCGATTATAAAATTACGTTTGATTAGTTTTTTAAGATATTATTTTGTGTATAATAAAAAAGTGAAATCATGTTTAATTATAATTATTAATTAATATATTATAACATTGTTGATAAATACTAAAAAATAAAAATAGAAAAAGAAAAATAATTCTCGACCGTTTTCTAATTCTTTATAAAAACCATTCTCACTGATTTTTATTTTCATTTTCGTTTTCAAAATATTTGCTAAATAAACATGGTTTGCAAACCGTTTTTATTTTTGTACCTCAAAAAATGTGTAGAAACGTTTAAAAAAAAAATTATAAACCAATTCTAAATGCACCATCAATTAGTTTTTTTGGAGTTAGAACGGAAATGGACTCCAACAAAAAGGATCAAAAAAATCTTGCAAGAATGTATAGTAATTGAGTTGGGTCCGTACTATAACTGATACTAGTAGGATTACTCACAAATGATAAATTGAGATAGAATATAAAAATTTTAAATGACGTTTGATTCATGAGTTTAAAATCATAGTTTATAATTTTAATTTTTAAAATTTAAATTTTTTATAAGAAAAAAATATCGTAATAGAATTAAGAACAGACAAAACTCGTAGAATAAAAGTCACCCTAATGTCCTGAAATACAAAGGGTGGGCCCCTTCTCTGGTCCATCTATATTCTAAAGCCTTCCTCATTGACACGTCAACGAAGCAAACAAAAAGCCTTTAAGCTCTGATTATGCTGGCCACATGGCAGAGTGTAAATGGCTGAAATGGAAAAGCAGTCTGATGACTTTTAATTTTTGAATTACTTTTAATCTCAATTATTCTTTTTAATTGCCTTTTCACCTAATTAAAACACAATTGAAGATTAATAAAATAATTAGAGGAAAAATTAAATAAAATCAACTAAAATAAAATAAAATAACACAACAGAAATCTAAACTAAAAATAAATAAAACAAATAAATTCTTTAAGAATAAAATAAATTTAAATACAAATAAGAAGGAAAATAACTCTATTTTATAGAGTTATCACATTACAGTTTTTTGAAATACAAGTAATAATTACATCAAAGATTTTTGCACCTGTAGAAACATTTTATACGACATGATATTTTAATTTATCTTACAATATATATTTTCACTTCTTATAATGTTTTTCCTTGTGTACAAAATTCCATACGTCAAGTCATACATTCTTATATCCTTATATCCCTTCTCTTTTTGACCCTCTCTAGACTAGTTTATATCCCCACGCACGCACTGAGAAAATAAAAAAGAATCTTTAACTTTATCCTTTTTATCTTTTAGCACACTTTTCCGGCCGAAAGGGAATTATTTTGTAGAGGGACAAATCCCATGCATGCATGGCCACAACTTGTTAAGAAAGAATCCTCGCCCACGCGTTTTCCTCTCACATATTTCATTGGACAATATAAATATATACGAACTTACAAACTTTTACTACAAGAGAAAAGTTCCTAACAAACACAATTGGTGCGTTTAAGATTGATTTTTATTTATTTTTGAAAACGTTTTTACACGTCTTTTGAGACACAAAAATAAAAATGGTCTGTAAACCGTATTTGTTTAGCAAATATTTGAAAACGAAACAAAAATAAAAAACAGTGAGAATAATTTTTGTGAAGGAATTAGAAAATGATTAAAAGTTATTTTTCCTTTTCTGTTTCATTTTCTAGTACTTATCAATAATGTTATAATATTTTAATTAATAATTATAACCAAACACGATTTTATCTTTTTATTATACTCAAAACAATCTCTTAAAAAATTAACCAAACACAATTTCAGAATCGGTCACAGAATGATTCTCAAAACAATCTCATTTTTACTTTTATTTGAAAACAAAATCATTTTAAAAACGTTACCAAACGGGCCCAATAATACTAAAAATACTAATATTATTTACAAACTTGCTATGATTATTAACACATTTGAACATTGAAATTGTAAAATGTAACATATTATTGGTCCTTATAAGGCTCCATTTTTATAGGTTATTCTAATATAGGAGGAGTTGTTCAGATCCTTTTAAACTCATTCTCAATTATATGCCTAACAATATGACATATGATTATGTACACAATATGAATTTCATACCTTACAAACTTTGAATGTTGAAATAAGAAAATGAAGCAATAAATTTTTAAACTGATATTGGTGTCGTGAATTAGACTCTTCGTACTACTGAACGACCCAATAATATTGATGGGGTTAAAGTGTAACATATTATATATGTACTATATAATTTCCTAAAATATTTTTATTATTCTCTTCGTTCTAGGATGAAAAAGACGTCAATTTATTGGGGAATCTGACGCTACTAAAGTACTATTATATATATATATATATATATGTGTGTGTGTGTGTGGTAGTTACTCCATTATTGTACAAGCACAACACATATCGTTTCTATTTCTTCTACTCTTACACAAGAACACTAGTCATATAGAATCGCCATCACAAATATGCAGAACTTCAGCTTTATAAACTTTCAATACGGCCGTTCAATGAAGTCCCCATTTGGGAAAAAATCTTCAAAGTCTAGTAGTTTTTCCGCTACTCAAAGACAACGAAGCGATACGAATAATTCTATCAAAACTTCCAAGCCAAGCATGGAGGAACTGAGATGGGCCTTCGAGAAATTCGACACCAACAGAGACGGCAAGATCAGCCGAGAGGAGTACAAGTCGGCGCTGCGAGTTCTCGACAGAGAAATCACCGACGGCGAGATAGCCAAGGCGTTTAATGCCCTTGATACCGACGGAGACGGGTTTGTTGACTTCAAAGAGTTTGTGGAGATGTTCGACATGGGATCGGGCGGGGTAAAAGCGTCCGATATCGAGAGCGCCTTCCGGTTGTTTGACCTCGATGGCGACGGGAAGATAAGCGCGGAGGAACTGTCGCAGGTGTTGAAGCAGCTCGGAGAGAGTTGCAGCATTAGGGCTTGCCGGAACATGGTCAAGGGAGTGGACAACGATGGAGATGGATTTATAAATATCGAGGAGTTCACCAGAATGATGTCTACAACCAAGAAACCAATTACTAATTAATTAGATAATGTTGCGTTAAGTGGCTTTACTTAATTAATATTGTGTTAATATGATTATTCTCCTTGGAGTTGGAGTTGTTTAATAAGACCCCTATGTCTTGCCAAGAAATTGTTCCACATAAATATGCTATCGAGTCTTGATGATGATGATTTTGTACCTTTATTTCATGGAAATTAAATGAAATAAGTTTAATGTGTCATGTTTTTCTCTCTTTGAAGACTAAGCGTTAAGATAAAGTGATTGGAATTAATTGAAAATGACAAAAGAAAAGACGAGTAAAAAAATGATAAAAAGTACCATACCTAGAACTAACATAGACATTTTCTGAAGGATTTTAAAACTTAACAAAAGAAAGCATATGACTAATAAAAAAAAAATTGCCTCATTCAAAACTTTACCGACCAAAGCCCACTGTAATAAAACATTGGTAAAAAAAAGAGTGCAATTATCAGTCTCGTAAAGAAATGCATAATAAAATAATTTTATACTTAGTTGGGCCCCTATCATGTTTTTAATGTGTTCGTGCCCATGTTCGTATTGGGCTCTTAGCGTGTCATGTCCTTAACTTGTTTTGTGCTCATAAGTTGCGTTAAGCCCAACCCATTTAATTATCTCATCGTGCTCACTTTTTAACATGTCGTGCTCGTGTAGTTACAACCTAACGTGTTTTTAACGTGCTCGTCCACATGCCCGTATTCGGCCCTTAGTGTGTCGTACCATTAACATGCTTCATGCCCAAAAGTTATGTTAAATCCCATTTATTAAACGAGATGGCTAATCGTATTATGTCATGTACACTTTTTAATGTGCCATACTCGCACCGGCCCATTAGCCAGCCCGTTTGACATCTCTAAGCAAGTTTGAGCATTATTTATACGATTATTCTTCATTCGTTCTTACCTGATCTTTTAACACAATAGAATCTGGCGGTTTAAATATAGTTACTATCTAGTTATTTTTCTTCTAAATGTATACAACTCCTTCGCTATTGATTATTTTTCACTATAGTGATATGTGAACTGTCAGGGGTAATGTACGTTTCCTTAATAACATTTAGCTTAAAATTTAAAAAATTCCAAATTAAAGGGAAAAAAAAAATCTCAGGCCAGCAATAATTAAGCCTAGGTAAGGCCACCTTGGGCTCAGGTTAAGAACCTGTCTAACGGACCTATCCTAACTGTCATCACAAGCCGATATTTTGGGCTCGGTCCAGCAGTCTAACTACGTTCAGTAACGTTGGAGGCTAGTAGCTTCCATCACATAACTTTCCTTGGTAAGATGATGATGAGGTTGCTGATTATTATTATTATTATTATTATTATTATTATTATTATTATTATTATTATTATTATTATTAT